GTCTGATATGTTATAATTGTCAATTGAATCAATAACTGACTTATGTGATTAAATAATCGATTACATGCTTAGGATTATGTGTTAAAACAGAAGCAAAAACTTAACAGATTACATAAAAACCTTAATCGATTATAATGCGTCAAGATTAAAAACAATCCTATATATGTGTCTTGAGACCTTTTCAAAACAAAAATTGCTTTCATTTTCAAATACTAACGTTTTCATTGCTTTTTGATTACAGGAGCGTTCAAGAAGTGATCTTGGAGAATCAAGGCTTCATTGGTTGATTACCCATGAAGATTCTTTCAAGAAAGTGTCCTTAACTTGTTCTGATTTGATGTACACTAGAGGAGTGTGACTTGGAGATCAAATTCATCATAAACAATATGTGATTATGTACTTGTGCTGGTTTGCTAGGATTTGAGAGTTGTGATTGTTCTCGGTTGTTGTAAGAGAGTGAGGTTATTCATCTCTTATTGTACTATATTGATTTTGAGTTGTGAGAGGAGTGCATTGGGAGGGGTATATCTGTATGTAAACTCAATCATTTATAGTGGAATCCCTTCAACTTAGGTTGTTGCAGGAGAACTAGATGTAGGCTTGGAATTAGCCAAACCAGTATAAATTGTCTGTGTTGATCTTTCTATATCCTTTCTCTCTTATTGATTCATCATTTTTGTTTATGGATTTCAAGAAAGCTAAAGAACTGATAAAGATTTTGAAAAGATCATTTTAAAAGGGCTAATCCAATTCACCCCCCCCTCCTGACTTGACATATAAGACATTTCTTTTCTTACACCACAGATCATTGTTCAATTGATTATTGTTCGAATTTCAAATTAATTAAAGTACATTCTTAATTAACTTGAGGGTGATCTTACAATTAATCAAAGTAGATTCTCAACCAAATGCAAGACCTTTCTAGATTATTCACAATGAATTCAACCAAAGTACATTCTCAACCAAATCCTATTTGTGTTTAATCATGTTTACTCTTAAATCTCCTAACCAAATTAAAAGTAAATTAAACAAAGTAAATTCTCAACTAATTATAGTTGAAATTCTTACCAGCGATCAAAGTACATTCTCAGTTAGTAGCAAAGACTCGTTTAATCATATGAAAGTTCCTAAATTCAATCAAAGTAAATTCTCAATCAAACCTAGAAACCCTTGAATTCATATGATCAACATGCATGTAGATTCAAACACCTTATGATGCAAAAATCATTACTTATAACTTGATTGAGAGATGAAAGACATAAAAGAAGGATAACTCAAATCAATAATCAAAAGAAACAAATACATTAATTCAACTGAACCTCATAATGCAGAATGAAATTATAGTGGAATAGTCCTAGAAGCTTAACTTTCCATGAATGGAGTAGAAACAAATGGTAAAATAAAAGTGAGAGAAGTGGTGGATGATTGCTTCTAGGAGGAGTGTGAGTGAATGAATAAGTTATGATTTCTGCCTCCCCTAGGTCTCTTTATATAGGTTTGATTGGACTTGGATTCTGAATATTCTATTGATAAGATCTTTTATCTTTTATCTTATATCTTTCAAATATTCAACAAATTTAATCAATTTTTAAGAATATTTGATAGATATTTTACGTTGATATTTTCAAATTAAATTAATTATCGTTAAATATCAACTGAATTTTCTCTTTTAACCTTTCTAAATTTTCCAAAATTACACATAAGCTTTGAAATTTCCTTTATTTCCACTTTAGACCCTATCTTTCTTTTTCAAAATTGTAGAGGAGCCCCTAATTGACCAACTTTGGCCAGATTCAAACAAATTGACCAACATTGACTAAGATGGACATGGCCGATGAGACCTTGCCACGTGTCAGCCCCCTTTAACCCAAATTCGGGTTTTGTAGATTAGGGGAATAGGATTTATGCGCCGCTGTGGAAAGGGTGGAGGCGCAACTTGCTTGCGTCGCGAGGCGGAGTTGCCATGGAGGTGCTAAGATGGGGTTGTTAATTCTGGAATTGCCTCGCAAATTCAAAGATGTTTGTGTGAACTGAAAATGATGAGGAAGAAGCGACTCTTGATGGAGAACTCACACTCAGTCGTGATTGGGTTTTCTCTAATTGTGGGTTTTTGCAATCTGTGTTTCCTCTTACAAGTGCGAGGACATGGCTTCGTGTGCGAGAACGGAGAAACTTGTGAGAACGTGGTAGCACGATTAAACTGTTCAATTTAGGGTTCATCTAGAATTTGATTTTGCTTTTATGATGAATGAGATCGAATTGAACAACCAAAGTCTGAAGGTGATAGTGTTATTGAATTCATTTGATCTACAACTACAACTGTTGGCATTGGAGTGCATGTTGGAGACTTGCTAAGCTCACAACATCATCGATTTAAGCTTAGGCCTATCTATTTTAAGATCGACTCTACCAATTTTAAGCTCGATCTTACCTATTTTAAGCTCAACCGTACCTATTTTAAGCTCAACCCTATAATAATTTAAGCGTGGCCCTGTGCCATTGTTATTTTAGTGATTTTTTTCCAGTTAATATAGCATTGTTATCGGTTCCCTTGTGCAAGTTGTGTGGCAAGATTTGTAATGTAGTTGGAGGTTAGGGAAGGGTTGCAACAGAGAAGAATATTATAAACCGAAGAATCTGGTGAGAGTTATAGAAACTTTTCTTTCTGATGTTAAAGTTGCCACCTTTGCTATTAAAGTTTTGTAGGGTTCTTCGTCGTATACTATTTTTTACAAACATGATAAAGAGTGAAGTTCTTCTTTCTAGTTTCTAAAGTTGTTGTTGCATATTCTAAACCCACGAACAATTTCATACTAGTTACTCAATTATGGTTGAGTTGAGTTTGTTAGTTGTAACTAGATAAAGGAGCTTAGTTGTGAATGAGTTTGAGAGCATGAGCTCGATAGCTCGACAGTCTGAACTCAACTATCCGTTTCTAAGTCATGACATTACCGACAGACATCATTCCTCTATAATTAACGAATAGAGTAATTCGTGAATAATTATTAATAAACGATATCCGTTAGTAAATCTTATCAATAACACTTTTATTAACAAAATAAATCATCAATAACTAGTATATTTTTTTCACATTGCACATTAATCAAATTCATCAACCAAACATTCAACTAAAATAATTTAAATCATCTACTCTTATGACCAAAATCAATTTAGTTTGAGTATTTTAAACATTTAAAAAAAAAATCCTATAATTTATTAAAATTTCAAAAATATTCTTAATTTTTTTATCCTGTATAAATGTATAATTTTCCCTATAACATTCCTGAAACATTGTTTTATTTTTTTAATTTCTACAATGATAAACAATATTCAAAGAACAAAATGCCGTGAATTCCTCTTTACCATTTTGAACATTTACCTACTATATAAACAATATTTACCTTTGTGAGCAAAATTATTTTAAATCATATAACTATAAAATATAAAACTAAATTATATGTTTTACAAACTTAATTAATTTTTTTAAATCATATTAGCAGAAAATAATCAATATCAGTTAAAAAGAAATATCCATATATACATTATCCATCATTGAGATTAGAACAAAAACCATTCACACTTTAAATTTTAATCCTATACTATAAAGAAGATATAAAACATCAATTTAAATTATGTAATTGATTAACCAAACAAGCAAGGATATATGATCTAATATCATCAAAGAGAAAATTCCACCATTTATAATATAGGACACTCAAAATAGGACATGGTGAAACAAATATAAAGTTACCTAAAGTATGTATAAGCACATTACAAAACCAAAGCTTTCATGAACACACAAGCCATTAGTTTGTTGGTGCAGTACAAGTGCAACAAAATAACTAAACTAATTGAAATGACCTTTTGGTTTAAGTATTTTTAGATGATGTAAAAATTTATATTTATTAAGTCACATTCTATATTGAATATAAAATATGTTACATAAGAAATTTTTACCAAAAATTATAAAAATACTATTGTGCAATTTTTTAAGTGAATATAAATATATTTTGAACAAAAAATATGGAACATAAGAAACATTGAACAAAATTATAAAAAATACTATTGTGCATTTTTTTAACGGAATAGTCATCCAAACCAACTTAAATCAATTAGATAACCAGCAAATTCATATTATATTAACAATAAATAATATTGTAAAAATAGAATTTTAAGTTTTGAAACAATTAGACCTATGGATAGAAAGTAATTTATTGCTATTCACATATATTTCTACCTCATATCTCACGCCTGTAGGTAATAAAAAAAATTATTCAAAATTATACCACATGAAAGAAAAAAGAATAAAATTTCAATAGTTAAAATGATGTAAAATAAAATATAAATAAATATATAGCTTATGTAGACAATTTTATATTATTATTAATATAAATTAATGTCAGTATAGTTTTAAGATAGTGATTATGAAAATTAATAAAAAAAATTATAATAATTTATAGTTAATTTTTGATGTGTACATAACTAATTACTTTTCAATCCATTTTTTACAATTATCTTTTAATTTATAAAACCCGAAACTTTATCTGACAAAATTCAAAATTATTTTTATTTTAATCAATTTAATTGTCAGGATTTTTCTTAAATAATATTTCTTTTTCAAAATTAATTTTTTAATTTTAAGACAAGTGTGATCATATTCCATTGTTACAGGTACACGTAGTAGTAAGGGATTTTGAAGATAAGGTACACATACTAATTTATTTTTAAAGATAAAATGTAAAGAATAAAATTACCTAGTCGTATTATGAGGCGTTTTCTACTTTATAGTTTTTGCTTTTATCGAGTATATATTTTGGACGTATTGATCATTGGGAAATAAAAAGAAAAAGTATTGGGTGGTGAATTGCGTCAAAGAGCGTTGGACATGTTGAACTCGGGGAATGAAACACGTAAGACCTGCATGCATGTGAGGCCACCTCAAACCCTATCTTCATTCAGATACCAACAACCACAACAACCATAAATTATTACCAAAGCCAAACTCACAAACCCAAAAAAGTATTGCCATGGTCACTTCTTTCGCCAACTTTCACAGATTTTGGTTCCTGCAGTTGAAGGTCATGGTGAAGGAGCTGAAGGATGACCACTCTGAAGAAGCCATGGACAGGATCATGAGACAGCACCAAGACTACTTCGTAGAAAAGTGGGAGGAGGTGGAGAGAGATCCTCTCAGCGTATTCCTTGCGCCATGGACCACCACCCTTGAGCGCTCCCTCCACTGGATCACTGGGTGGCGCCCCACCACCATCTTCCACCTCATCTACACAGAGTCTTCCCTCCTCTTTGAGTCTCACATCATCGATATCCTCTATGGCATCCGCACCGGAGACCTCGGCGACCTCAGCCCCTCCCAGTTTCGTCTCATGAGCGATCTCCAGTGTGACACTGTATCTAACACTCTTTCCCTCTTTTAATTATCTTCTTTTTTTCTCACTTTTCAATTCATAAAGTTTTCTGCTATGCAACCTGTTAAAGTAACATGCATCAGGGTTTTCCAATTGGTGGTTCTCTCTTTCATAGAAACAAAATAGTAAATAATTGCATTTAAGAATTTACATGAATTGTTAACAATATGGAGTAGATTTAAATTTTGTGATTAGAAGAAAATTAGCAGAACATTTGTCGTTTATTGGGATGAACAGAAGTAAAGACAAGACAGACAGAGTAAAATGAAATTTGATGTTTTAGTAGAATGTTCACGTGAAAGTTTCTTGTTTTGTTGAAATTAGTTTTTTATTTTAATTTTTGTGAAGGTGAAAGAGGAGAATGAGATCACGGAAGAGCTAGCAGAGTGGCAGGAGACTGCAAGCGAGATGATGAGTTGTGAGATGGATATGACTGAGAAGATCACAGAGCTGATACCCATCATAAAAAAAGCAGATGATCTACGGATGAGAACGTTGCAGGGCGTGGTGAGGTTGCTGTCAAAACAGCAGGCTATGGAATTCTTGATTGCCTCAGGGGAGTTACTCTTTGGGATTCGCAGTTGGGGAATGACTCACGACGCATCCATTTCGTAAATCGGGAAGAAATTGGATTTCTTAGGTTGCAATTTCCCTTTTGCTTTTGCAATTTCATCATGTTTTATCTCTCTATGGATCAAAAATTAGACTTTATGGCATCTATTCACATGCAGCCAGTCTATTTTATCTAGAATTATCAGACATAAATTGCACTTTTGTGTTGGTGCTATCATATTAATAATATGGTGTGATATTTCTAACAAATTATTATTTGTTAGGGATTTGTTTTATAACATTATGTGTAGTATTTAATCTAGTTTACTTCTCATGACTTTGATTTAACTTTATGGATATTTAAATAATAATTATTAATGCATTTTATTATTTATTGTTTATAATGAATATTAGAATTTATTTTGTCGAGAAATGTATATATATAATTTGATTTGGTTCGCTTAATTTTTTTTATTTAAAGGATGACAAACATGGATATTAAAAGAAGAAGTGTATATACTACATCAATTATAATCTAAATTCTGAATACTACTATGATGTTAGTCAAAATTTCATATAGGAATATGGTGTTCATGGTATAAATTGATGAACTTCATATGGAATTTCTAAATGTATACACTTTTTTATAGCAAAGTGTATTATATATTTTATAAATGGAATTTCTATCCATTATAGTTAATACATACAGTAATATGATAATTTGTAACTCTAATTAGATTTTCTTCTCAATTTACATCTTAAAGAAAATATAATAATATAAACTAAATTGAATACACGAAAACAAAATCTTTTTGACACTATTAAGTCCAACAAAATGTCTATCCAATCCTAAAAAGTGCAAATACAACATTTATATTACATAAAAGTAGGCCAATCTTTGTGACAAGCATAAAAGTAAGCTTTTGTGTCATATCAAGGTTGTACCGTATTTTCATATAGGATGGCGATATTTTGACAAAAATTTGACAATGTCACGTGTCAAGTGTTAATTGGTCGAATTTGATTTAAAATCTGATTTGGAATGGGTTGAAGTTTGGATTCCGAAACTGTCCTCTTCGTTTTCGAACTCTATCTTCTCTCCTTATCACTGTCTTCTCTCTCCATTTTAGGGATTTGAATTTTATTTCAACTTCCTCTTCATAGCAGTGTTCTCCCTCCTCCATTTTTGCATTTGTTTGTTCGTCATCATTGAAAGACCAAGTTAAGGTGTTTCTGGGTTGAGAGGTGAGTTCCTGCACCATTGACAAAGAACTTATGTTGTTGTAATCGATTACAGGGAGCTGGTAATCGCTTACCAGTAGAAAAATCTCCTTTTGTACCGAAAGTTGAAGAGTGCTACCCAGACGTGGCTTAAGCACTCCCCAGGAATATTTTGGATTCGTTATGACTGTCTTTTGAAGGTTTTATGGATGGATCATTAATGGAACACTTCAAGTTGGAATACTTCAATATTAAACAAATATAAACGAAATAATGAAGGGTATTGAGTAATGAAAAATTATAACAATATTAAAAAGCACATACATTAATAAAAAAACGTAATGACATTTCATGAAACAACAAGTTTTGAAATGAAAAGATACATAACAGTATACAATGAAATATAATCTAAGAAGATGGTTGTCGATCAAATTGATTGCGGAAGTTAATAAGTTCTTCCTCTACGAGTTGTGCAAAAATTGTCATAAACTTGAACTACCTTGGTTCAAACACCTATAGG